CGGCAATTTGAAAATCCCCTCCCCCCACACTGGCCCGCCCCAACCAACCTCCAAGATACACACTACCAGCATCCGCGGTGAAATTTCCACACCCCCCTGTGTTCCGTCACTCTGTTCTCCCACAGGCGGACTGCACATAGCCACCCAGGCTAATTGTTCTGGTTACAGAGATCACACAGCTTTCACATGTGTGAGCATGCATGCAGGCACGCGGCCTACTGGCACGGAAGGCCGCGGCCCGCCTCTCCACATTGCACTGCACGCCTCAGAATGCCTTCGCACCCACAGTCACTGGCCGGGATCCCATCTGACCTAAACACTTAAATCACTTTGGATTTAAGAGCAATCTGGGCTACTCACCTTCGGCTCTTGAAGTGCCAACGGATTTTAGAATATTTTCTTTCTTTACTTATTTTGTCACACCGTTCGTTTTTTTTCTTTGGATAGCTATGCAAGCAAAACAACCTTTCCCCCCATACAGACAGTGATTTCCACATCGTTTTCTGTCAGTGCAAAACATTCAGCGTATTCTGGCACATATATTGGTATATAGCACAGGATTAGCAAACATTTTAGGGCAGAAAAGATGTCTAGATGCGGGTACTGCAAGACAACTAACGTGAAGAGACTGTGCTTAAGGTGCTGGAAAAATTAAACAGCGGCATAAAGGCCTGGTAAATATCCACAAAACAGGTACCACTGTGTCCTGCATGGGCCATATGCAGAATTACGGCAGTAATTTACACGAGTCAGGCAACTCCGCTACTCAGGTAAAAAGCATCTTCTCAAGCCCAAAATAGGGACCGCCATCCATTTCCTGTCAACCACGCCCAGGCCAGTGGCTGAGTCTAAACAATGGAGCAGGACAATCCCACAGCCATCGTTAACTAGGGGAAACCACCATCACTCACGGCCGTCCCAGTGTCTGCGGCATCCGCCGACTGGCTGGGAATCGGCGCCAGCCGGCCCCCTGTCTGGCGGCGGCCAGGGACAGAGTCTGAAACCCTGCTTCCTACACAAGGTGAAGCGTCCAATCAGAGAAAGGGAGGAGAGCTTACAAACGAGGCTAGTAGGAAGCCACGTATGACCAGTGAGTAGGTTATAATTACCAGAAAAAACACTGAACTCTACTATAAATGGAGCAATAAGCCCTGGAGGTGTAAAATTGAGCATTTTTGGTGTAAGTTTGGGTAAATTAGAAGTATTCCCGTCAACATACTACTGGTAATTATTAGGCTGCTGCTACCGTCGCAATGTGTGAGGAAATAAGAGGCACATCTGGGTAGAACATTCTTGCTCTTGTGAAGCTTTGCTGCGATGTGTTACGACAGGCCCACCGAACATACTGGCCCGGTCGCACACGCACACGCACACGTGCAAGCATGGTTCTGCCCCCTCGTCAAATTAACACAGGAAAGGGGATACAACAACAGGTTTTTTTCCCTTTTTTATGGGCTATTGTGTCACTAGTGGGATTCCATGTGGGTGTCAGCATGGCCAAGATCTGATGTGCTTGTAGACCATGCAGTAGTGGCAGGTCCTTCACCACCCAAACGAAACAACAGCTGCTCACACAGCATATAATTACACTACAGTCTCTGGAAAGGTCTCCAGGTATCTGCTCCCAAGGTCTCAGAGAGTCCTCACACACCGGAAGCAGAACTGGGAGATGGTTCAACATGGACTGAAGGGAGCAGGACTATCTGTGAACTTTTCAATTGATAAGCTCTATTGATGACAGACATTCGGTTCCTCCACTCACAGTAGGGCGTTTGGAATCTCCTCCATGCTGGTACCTTGTGGGGATTCCCCAGCAGTCCCACTGTGGACCAGGAAAACCATTTAGCTCTACCGATCCAAACTTATCCTGAGGCAAAAGGTTTAGTCGCGTGAAAGAAGCCGGTGGCAGAGCTGAGACGCTGACTTACGAAGAAGCAGGAATGCAGAAAGACTAATTTTCCACTCATCCCCATTTCCTTGGAGATGCCCTACCAGAAATGTAGTGTGTCTGCCTTTCTTCTCCGCAGAGGATATTACAGGAACAAGGACAATGCCCAGTTGTACAAAATAGCTCTGGGCACTGAGTGTTTCTAAATTGGGTTTAATCACAAGCAGACTGCCATTGTCTCGGTTGTAAGCTGGGGCAAATTCCCCATGAAGTTTTAACCCCAACAACAGAGGGAGCTCTTTTCCCTAAATGGGATTCTGACTCCTTTTACAGCAAACAGTAAATACTAATTATAAGTAAGATCACTTAGCTGTTATTGCAAAAGCCCCAAGTGTGACTCGTTTTGCACGTCAAATGCGTTTGCACTGATTTTTGCACTCAGTCGGAAAATCGAACTTATGAGGGGCAAAACTCGCTTCCCGAGAAGGACCCATGGCGTATGTTTTATTTCAAGGTCCAAAGGCTTCATAAAACGGAAAACAAATGGTCACAAAGTCCAGAAAAGACAAGGTCTCTATGGTGAGCCTACGGTGACAGCCAAGGCTGTAAAAAAAGACCTACGGCTGGAAGAGAGATGAAGGATTTAACACGGTCACCCTCGTATTTCAACACCTCTGAAAGGAGATGCCTGGCAGGCTGAAAATCGGCGTCTGAGAACTGGCGGCCAGCTTCAAAGAAATACAACGTTATCTGGGTATTAAATACTGAGTACTAAATAATCTGCCACAAAGCAATATGAAAGTATTATGAAATAGACCCTACCTCGAAATACAGTATTATATTATTCATATACACTACTATTACTAATATTATATATCACAAATTATTTTCTGTATTTTCTTTCTGTGTTTGTGTCTTTTCTTTCATTCATCTGTGCTCATCAGTTCTTCATGCAAAATCATTGGCTTTCCAGATTTTTTAAATGTAAACAGTAGATCATAGGTGAGTCTTTCACACACTGCCAACGGTTTTACTGACAGCGATTAAAAGTGAAACAACAATACGAATTAGGTTGTTTTAATCTCTGTGGCACGAAAACATTCCCGTGACGGTCGTTCAGCAAAATATATCTGCATGATAGGCGATCGTATTGTTGTGCATTTTTTTGCAATGGCACATAATGAAAGAGAAAACGGTGCCCACAATTTCTGTAAGGTGCAAAGAAGCTCATCTGTCTCATTAAAATGTGTTCAGACATAAAGCTGCACCTTTAAATGTGCCTCTTGCTGTTCAATGCTAAGCCCGCTCAGCACAATATCTCTGAGCCATGTTCATGTTAATGAGTTCTGCTAATGCAGTGAAGCTGCAGCTTCATACTCAGACTTTCTGGTCAGGTCTATTTCCAAACTCTCCAAAACAAAATAACACTTTCACTGAGACTTTTTGATTTTCTTGTTTGATCTTTTGCCCCGTTAAGACATTTAATAATCGCTATCATTTATTTTTTACTTTTATCACTTTAATTATTTATAATTATAATTATAATTATATTTAAATTATATTGATTATAAAATTAGTTGTAATTTTTGCATTTTTCTTGTATCCGATTTCAACAGGTAAACATATTTGAATACATCTGACAGTTTCTGCAAGTCACAAAAAGCAAAACAAATATCCACCTATTTCATTCAGCTTCTAAAATAAATAATTTGTGGTATAAGCAGCCTTCTGACAGAACAGGAAAGTTCTATGCATGTTTAATCTCAAGACTATCAAGAAACTCTGAGTCTTCTAGTCTGCATATAACTGTACAATTCTCCATATATCATTTGCCTTTTTTAGACATTTCCATGCAGAATCACAGGAATGTCCAGGCATGGATTTTCAGCCTCTGCAGGAACAAGTTTTTCTTCCAGCTGACGGTTCAGAAACTCTTCTTTTCAGTGGAATAATTTGCTTGCACTTGCATGGGCCAGGAGAATGAAATGTTTTCAAGAGAGGGAAGCCAGTCCTATGGTCAGCGCATCTCACAAGGTCGTATTCGATGCCTTAAAGAGAATGCAGGGCGGAATGAGGTGAACCCTTCCTCTGCACACTGAAGGCTACTTAGATATTTGTTCTCGAAGAGTCATACGGCATAGCGCTGGATGGCCATTACTAAGACCATTCAATGAAATGCTTAGCAGAGGAAGCCTATATTGCCTATATTGGTGTGATGAAAGCAAGAAAACAAGAAACATCTCACACTGTCCTCTTCACACAAAACGGAAAACGAAATGGCACGTAGCACTGTACAGCGTGTTTTCAAACAAATACATCTGATTAATGGCTGAATCAACAATGAGACGATCTTGTCTCTTCAGATAAATCGCGCACTCAGACGTCATCTAAACATGCAATTTCCCAGTAACGAGGTAATATCTGAAATTAAATTGTAGATCATAATGAGAATATGTTGCATAAAAAATTCTATTTCCTATTTTTTGAATTATCTGTTTTCCATCATACATGGTGGGACCACTTCACACACCCTAGAAAAGTAAACTATGACAGTCTGCTTACTCAGTTAATCAAGGAGGTTAATGTGTTTTTGGGATTCTCCTTTCAGTGCTTATTAAGCGTAATTAGGGGATATTTTAGGCACAAACGAGAAGGGAGGGAACCCTTCTGTGTTACTTTAGTGTTGTATACTATAAATAAATACAGTCCCTCGTGTCATTGTTTGAAGTGCTGCTTCAGAGCCTAGACTTAGAGGGAACCCCACTAAAAATGCAGGAGATTGAATCTTCAGCTAACATATCAAAATACGTATTTGTCCATTCCAGAAGTTTTTTTTAAAAAATGCAGCACAAAATTCAATCTGGACAGGAGTCAGTTTTGCTGAGAGCTCCTGAATTACTGCTCCTGCCTTGTCAACGTGCATACTGTATGTCACCACAGCCGGTCACCTGCAACATCCGGCAAAATCTTCTCCCAGTATCAACCGGCTGTTTGCATCCACTGCACGCAAGAAGGCAGAAAACGAGCCCGGGAGATGCAAACAAACAAACAAACAAACAAGCAAACGAACAGAGTGGCCAATCAGGGGACAGGGGAGCAAGAGTGCACTTACAGCTTTCTGCTGCGTCTGCAGGAAGGCTGGAGAGCGGCCTTCTCCACGCTCGGGGTCACTGGAGATGTCATCCTCCGACTCCTCCCAGGAAGAGGAGAAGCCAGTGGAGGAGGCAGATGAGGACGAGAGCTTCCTCTGGGCCCTGGTGGGGCTGGGGCTGGGGCTAAGCTGTGCCTCTGTGCCCTCTCCCGATCCCTCAGCCCCGAGGTCAGTGATGATGACTGCGGGAATGTTCGTAGCCTCAGAGCAGCTGCCCTCCAGTGCAGAAGCACCACTCCCTTTGAGTTCTGCAGGCGGGCTGATCTGGGTTGGCTCTCTGAGTTTTGTCCCTGTGATGATGACACCGATGCCAGGAGACCCGGCACTGATTGGGCCATCTCCTTGGACTTGGACTTCCGCCGATGGGCTTGCGCGCAAACAGCCCCGCTCCGCAACTAGGTCAGTGGCACAGTCTTCCCCCACGCGCCCCCCTACCCTGCCAGGTATGCTACACCCGCCTCGCCCATTCTGTAGCTCTTGCGGGATTGGTGATGAAGATCTCCGTCGGACCTCCCTGGGTTCCAGGCTGCTGGATTCCGAAACAGAGCTGGGCCGGCGAGGGGTCCGCGGGCTACGCTGGATCTCCAAATTTTGCGCCTGGCTTCGCTGGTCAGAGATCTGGGCCTCAAACAGGCCCACCTTCTGGTTGACTTGGACATTCTGCAGCTCCCGGTGGATCTGCTGGATGTGCGCGGAACGGCGTGAGGTCGACGGGCCCGGACTGAAAGATCGCAGGTCATCGTCAACGGGCCCCGGTCGCGCAGGGCTTCCGCTGAGATGCCGGACCCGGCCACCTGTGCCTGTCTCCAGGGAGGTCGAGGGTCGGCCCGGAGAGCGGGATCGGTGGCTGCCAGGGCTAGTTGGTGCAGAAGTGAAGTTGAAGGCTGAGCTAGAGGAGCTGGGACTCAAGCCCCCGGGACTATATGGGGCCCTGGGCATCAGCCCCTGGCAGTACGTCGTCCGGTCCGGCACCAGCAGAACCGGCCTTGCGGGTCGAGGACTGCTGTCGCTTTTCAGGTTATTGGTGCTCATCACGATCAAGCTGTTCAAAGCACATGCAGCCATGATGCCAGGCTGTCACTCTCTCGTTGGGCTTCCATGAAGCCCTAGATCTGGTTCTCCAACCAGCGTTTGGACCCCACCATGGCTTCGATGGTGCGGGGGGTGGGGGAGAGCACGTGACGATAGGAACAATTGATGAGAAACTTGCAATGTAAAACAGAACCAATGAAAGGTAGAATGCTTAGGCGTTGTCGGTTCTACTCCAAAGCAGACATCTTCTTAGGACCAAAGGCTGCAAGAGAAAAACTCAGTAAGAACCTTGATTGCACCACCAGTGGCTTTATACAAGAAATGTCACCCTAGAAGCCATTTTCTCTGAATTTTTAATACAGCGTTTTAGTATCATCACATATATCACCACCAATATGCAACAAACACATATTAAATCCTTTCTCGGGGTAATGGGGTCTCAGATTCTTTACCAGATATTTTACCTTCGTTTGTTTCTTTTTGTGTTGCCAAAATAGGAATTATGTAACTAAAAGATTAAACGAGTGGAAGGAATTCCCTCCAGGGTCTCAACTCCAGCTGTGTTCATATGAGGCACAAGGGTAAATGAAGAGCAAAAGTATAATTTGTCAGAAGGCTCCTCTGAAAAAGACCAAGCTGGAGATTCCAACATTTTAGCGACTCCTCCATGTCTGGGACTCCTACGCATCAGTGACTCCTATTCTTGTTGCAGTTTGCTTATTGCTGCAGGTCTTTTGGAGACTAAATTAAGCCGCCTTTGTCTTTTTGACTTTCCAGCTTAAAGAAAGAAGTGCCTGTTTTCCCGTCGGGTTTGCTGTGATGCCAGAGTAAACTGGCAGACGTCTCCTAGCTGAGCTAAGGAAGGCCACAGATCTTGCTCTGTAGTATAAGCCCAGTACTTTGAGGGATATATTTAATTAACGCCAAACACAGATGCTTCTTGACGATCACCTGAAGAACAGTGACTCTAAAGAGGACTAAACATGCGCGACTAAACAAACAAAAACTAAAAAAAAAAGCCTATTCTGTGGAATCAGATGTCTCCAAGTCAGTCCCGATTTAGATAATTTAAAGAAAAATAAAGAATGGCAAATGTAAGGTGGAGCCTGAATCCAGATATTGTTGGAGGTGGTTAAAAATGCATGAGAGACAGCTCTGAGCGTCACAGTGGGGTTCCACGTGACAGATCAGTCTGCAAACAAATATTCACAGACAAACCAAGTCTTATTTACGTCTAACAATTAGAAATCAATGTAAAGGTTTAAGGGCAAAGCTGAGCCTACTTCTAAAGAGTGTACCTGCACAAAGGACCAACCGTGTTTACACGCAGACCGGAGAACTTAACATCTAAAGGTGAGCTTTGGAGAGTTACAGTGCCCACCTTGGTTCTTGGGAGAATGGGGGACTGTTTTTTTTGAGTGGTGTGATGTGGAGAGGCATGGCAATAGCCGCTTTCCCCTGCAACTCGGGCTGCTGTGTTCAGCCGTGGCTGGTTCTGTGAGCACAGGGTTATGAGGTCTGCGTTCACTCTATGTTGGTCGGAACCTTTCAATGGTCTGGTACTGTAATCTACAAGACTAGAAGACAGGCATATTGCCTTGAGGTACTGTCTGAACCCATCACATAAAGTGCTTTTAATTGCACACTCCACTGTAACAACACTAAAAAAAAAACAGCAACCAATGCAACATGACTATTCGGCACTAGATTTGTTCTTCTGTTCTCATTCACCCAATATTCTTCACAAACTTTAGGCATTCACTTTTGATTACATGCCAGATAATAGCACGGTGGCTATTTCAGAGCGGGACAAATTCTATCCACCAGTACTCGGTCACATTACCCTTGCAACACTGGTTGAGTGACGTTAGGTATGCAGTCACAAGAATGTGCTTGTTCTGTTCACTTCGGACAAACCCCTGGCATATTACTCCAGGCCGGATTACTACAGGGCTACACAGAGCAAAAAATATAGTTCTTTAAGAACGATAATCATTATCTATAAGGAGTTGAACAACACCGGGAAAGTAGAAGAGTTGAAAGAACTTATATGGTTACAACTAGCGTTTCCATAGTTTAAAAGCGCCATAATATCTATGTAATTAACTAAAGAATATGTGATCAATTAAACAAGAAATGTAAAAGCCGTTTTAAATTATACAATTACTGTAGTGTACTTTAAGATGCGGTAATTAGCCTACCTGGGAAAAATAACTACGCCGTGGAGATGTAAACGTAACCATATCTACATGTTGCATCTAAATATATATATATATATATACGCACTTAGCCACTGGGAGACGTGATAATTCACGTGCTTCCATAATATTAGTGTCTATGATCATGTATAAACGTCAAACCTCGATCCATTGCAGTTTAACGAGGTACACAGAGGACTCACTTTTGCAACTCAAGTAGGCGTGATTGTTAAAATGAATGTTCGTCCACAACTGGGAACATTAATCAACACTACGCTAAAATCAAAATGTTGGTTGTTGCCTATTCTGTCTGCTTTCTTTCACTACACAGGTCATAAAAGACCCAGTAACTAATAAGTAAAACAATAACAGCAGTATTAGGCTACATACACAGACCTAAATGCACACAAAACTTGCTGAAATCGCAAACGAAAATCCAAAATAACACACTACGTTCCACCGTTTTTACTTATTGCAAGAGTTTTTAGATATCTGCAACTTTGGTTTATAAACAAATTAAATGTATTGACCGAAGTGTCAGTTGGTAGGGTAAGCATCATTATTGAACTTAAATCCCCCCCAGCACTTGCATGTTTCAACAATAATAGCTTCGTCTGCAACAGGTTTATGCACGAGTTTCATAGATGACCTTACTGCCAAGTTATGCCGATCATCTTACCTCGTAGTAAAAGTACAGTGGCTTTACAGTCACAAACGGCGCTCCTATCCAAACCTCATGTTTAATCCTCCAGCAAGAACGCGACGATGTCCCCAAAAGCACAGCTAAACTCAAGTCTACTCAGTTTAAGTATGAAAGTACGGTCCAATCTTCCCGTTTCCACAAAGGGAATCTAAACACCAGTCCTCGCAGACATTAAGTTTTTGTTTACCAGCTTACTCATCAATACCGTGGCCGCCTTGACCGGCACAGCTCGTCAGCAGCACCAGTATGTTTGTTTAATGTACATAAAGCAGGAAGGAAGTCAAGCTGCTTGCAGAGCCGAGTTCAACGGAACAAGCCGCTTTCTCTCTATAACGCAGAGCAGGGCAGTAGGGAAGAGCTTTGAGAAAGAAGTTAGAAAAAAAGGTTTCCATTGCAAATCTTGACGGACCCATATCTGTAGACACGTGAAAGAACAGTATTTTGCTCTCCTTCCGAAACAGAAACCATGAAAAGATGCAAATATAATTATTTTGTCATTATTAAACAGCAATTTAAATTACATAATTCTTTCGAAAATGCATACAGTATTTGAGCAAAGTGTCTACTCTATTATTTAACCTACCTCACAATTGTTGTTAGACTTTAATGTCCTCGTGTGTTCCAGGTCGTCCCAGTGACTCCAGTGACAACGGCAGTCACAGCTCATCAAGTTTTATCATGACTGTGTCTATCCCACCTCTGTGGAGAGTCTGGAATCCCGTCATGGGGGACGGGCAGCTCAGAGACCCGTAGCTATTATCAGCTGCATAATAACGAAGGGTGATTCCACTCGCAATTATAATTATGCAATTTATCAAGTTTACACGGAAGCTTGAACATAGTATTTTTTCATAATCAGCAGTAGCAGATATGCATCATAAGAGAGACAGCTAAATTAAGTTCCAACACTACCTAAATATGGAGCCTTTTTTGCATACTGATGGAAACACTCCGATATGTTTAGAAGTCTCTTAACTGCTTTTCAAGACATGTTGCCTTCCTTGACGTATGCATGTTGAGAGTTCGAGGAAGAAAGTTTTATGCTCACCGTGTTACAATGGACGGTTCTAGAATTGACAATTTCAGGTGTTTTATTGGAAACTTATTTGAAAATTAACTATAAGCACCATTTTCTCCTGCTTGTAAACAAGGCATATCTGTAAAACCACTTAAAACGACTGTAGTTTTTGTAAAAGGACACATATGTCAAATATATCCTCAAAATATTAATCGTTTATGTTGCACGTTCAATCATTGTTCATATGCAATTTATACTTTTGCATAGTGTGTTTATGAACTATTAATACAAATTAAAAATATTAAAGGCAAGTTAGTTAAATGACCCTGAAATAGCATCAACTCTGGTCGTATATTGAATTAACAATTAAAGTTAATAACGATGGCATCTGTAGTGCAAACAGAGAGATGGGTGATAGATGAGTAGTGTAATCGAGAATTAAGCATTTATACGGTCTAACTTTTTTCCATTTACTTGTCCACATTGCATGTCGAATAATTAAATTAATTTATAATGGCAAAAACCACTGAGCAGCAGTAAAATACAAGGAAGTGTGTCACTTGGCAGACTAAACTGTGGATGGAAAATACAAAGGCTGGTGGCCTTTCTGATTTGAATGAGGCTTACTGCCTGATAGGTAGTATGAAAATTAATTTTCCATGTCCTGTAATTGTGAGCAGACTGACAACACGTGCTTTGGAAGACCTTTTGTGAACCGTGGACTTGAATATAAAGTACAAAACAAAAAAGTTCGCTAATTGATTTGCAGCATTTATATGGAATTCTTGACAACCGTAAGTTAGGCGCATTGTGCTTGAGGAACCTTACGCAGGAAAGACGCAAAATTTGTCCTGATTATAAGATTTTTGCCTTTCAGTGGGTCTTCCCCATTACCTGTACAGTATTCCCAGGTCAAACTGCAAGCGAGATTTCCTCTGCCACGTCTGTCGATCTGGCTGAAAACTAGACTATTGCATGTCGGGCGACCGATAACCTGAATTAAAAGGCAAAGCGCATACAGTACTCCATGATTTGGCCATGCTGGTCATTATGAATCACTCATGTAATGAAACGGACGAGAATGTTTGGTCTGATATGAAGTTCTGAAAATGGCGTAATCCGGAGCGGTATGCTGTTTTCACTGAAACTATAAACAACTGTAAACATCAATGTAGCTGCTTGCAACTGAGTAACGATTAATGAGCGCTCTTAAAATGCGTCAGTGAATCATGTGAAATAACTCTTTCAGCGGCGTTCTACTAAGTTACGCACTAATAACGAACGGTTGTAATTTATAACGTGGTCTGCGCACAGAAAATAACAAGGTAAACAATTTGTGAGCAACAATGAAATCATTCACTCGGTTTAAACTTTCACCACCAAAGCGTGGTGTAACCCCTCTGTCAGCATGGAAATATTTTTCCATTGACAAAACATGTGTCACAGACGCCATCTGTCGGTATTTTTTAGTATAACGCTTAAATGATAAATATTCGGGTAATCTGTGCAACACATTGTAGAACGAGAACCTCGAACTTTCACAACTTCCAAAGGAGACGCAGGAAGTAAATGCAACAAAAGAAATGTATATGTATGACAAGTACACCATAGCATAACAGAAAGAGACAAATTAAATTTTATACTTTGTAAGATAGGCCTATTAGTCTCAGAAATATTACTGACAGTAAATCAGCTTAATAAAAAAGATCATTTTCATCTAGTGCATCAAGATATTGCATTTAGGTTGATTTCCAACATGATTGCACAAAGGGAGAATTCTTTCAACACAATATAAGTTCCAACACAGACCTCGAGCAATGCAAAGCAGGGTTGTGCAAAATTCAGGAATGTCATTTAACCTATGTAATAATAGATTTAATTTCTGGATGGTAGAAGAATATACTGAGCTTGTATATATAGGAGTGGGTAAAATGTACTTTAAAAATGTATAACTTTTAGTCTATTCTATCATTTTACACTTGGGATGGCTTGGATTATGTTGAGCATCTAAATCCTTTCCCACTGGCACATCTGCATTGTTTTTGCATATGAAACTGCTTATGTGTATTAATAATAATGCCCCTTTATGGATTCCCTTGGGGAAATCCTCTTTATGCCTACTCCATCTTGCAGCGAATGATCAGCCACCTGCAGTGGCCCCCATGGATCTAGTGGTTGAGAGCCTGACCTGAGGGTCCTTAGACATGTGACTAGCCCGCAGAGGTCAGGCTCAAACAGGTGACCCTCTGATCACAGGCACAGGGGCTTAACTCACGTAGCTGCTCACCATTTCCAAGGACGTCCCATTTTAATCGAAGAGATTTCCAAAAAACGTTTTTGCATCACCATTTTTGATGACATTTTTTTCTTCACTGCAGGCAGCAACAAAGTCATCATTTGTATTCCTTTCTTTTTTACTATTACAGCTATTTGGATCAACTATATCTTGAAGGAGAACTCAATAGGGGTACTTCGTGAAATCAACTAATTAACATTGATTGGGGCTACATTCTCAGAAAAAAAGGGTACCAATTTGTACCTTTTCTTGTCATTGTGGTTGTACCCTCAAGGGTCTGTAAATTGTACCTTTTAAGGTACAGAAATGGACTCTGAGGAACCTTTCTGTAGCATTGATGGTACACTAGTGATTTTTGTGCCTCTGAGATGCAGGCAGCAGGGCTATTCAATAGCTGATCAGACTGTTAGTATTAGCACATTTCTGTTTTATTTTATTAATATTAATTTAAAAAGTTTTAATATTGCTATGTACTACTTTACTTATTTCTTTACATAACGTGTCACTTACTATATAGGACTCTCAGGGAAACTCATATTATCGCCTGCATCTACCACCGTCTACCATATTCTTGGACATTTGATAAATAAACTTTGATTTGATTAATGCTATATGCCTGCATGTCTTCCTTCATTGGCCCCCTATTGGTGCTCACATAAGGTTTGAGTGTTTGGACCTGGCTCTCAGAACCGCTAATGGAACAATACCCACCTCTGTTTAGCACTTCATCACAACCTACATCCCATATCGCCTTGTTTGGTCGGAAAGCCAACATTGCCTGGGGATCCATCCACCATGCAAAAATAATAAGTTTAACTCTAGATGTTTCTCCTGTGTGGTTCCTCAGTGGCGAAACAAGATGATCATCAAGAATGTTTTTTTTTCCCCCCAGGAATGCCTCAACTAGCTTATCTAACCATTAGCCATCTCTGTTTTCATCTGCAATACTTTGCTCATTGATTCTAATCAACACTGGCTACTCTGGTATTTATGCACTTGTCTCACAGGAACCTAGTTTCCTTTATTCGGTTTCGTTTATTTGAATATCTACCCTGTCAGGTTCCTGTAGTGTCTTTGTAATGTATGCTATAACTCCTGCTACAGTGCCAAGTGGCATTCATCAGAAGCTCAGCCAAACTGGCATTTTGGCTCTTTGACATGTATTTGCTTGATGTAGTATATGCCTCGAATATAGTTTGCTTTGCACAGAAGTGTTCTGTCAAGTAAACAAATAATAATAATCATCATAACATCATCAGAACAAAGAGGAGGTCCCGCAGTTTCTCTTCCTTTTAAGATATCTACCTTCTGCACTGCAAATAATGACCAGTAAGTGGCAGCAAATCCCAGAAGGTCTGCGGCTTTTTCAATGACCTGGACTAAAACGCACCTATAGCTCACACAATCTATGTCAATTTAATACAGACAAAAGCAGATTTAATAAAGAATTATTTATTTAATCTAAAAAGAATTGTATATTTATATTTCATGAAAACATAGGTATTTGGGCAATGTTACAAACTGTCATTATACATTATCCGTACTCACAATACAATAAACTGAATAAATGTATATTCATCCTGTCAAAAAGATCCCCGATATTAGATGCATATTGATATTACACATTAAGAGGTTTGTGGATATGTTTTACATGTTACTGCCAAATTTTACTTTCCGTTGTATTGACATTATCAGTGTCGTCATGGTTAAAGTAAGATACTTACTTGATTTGTGGGGGTCTAGTTTTTCATGGAGAAACGATTTTTTAAATGTATTGTAATTCTGTCAGCCATACTTTAAGATGTTATACAATTTGCAGAATCTCCGCAAAATCAATATGACACTGCATTCTTTGTTTCTGTAGCGTGGCCAACAAATGCCATAACGTTCTGCATTTTGATTTTAACAACTTATCATGTATTTTGTAAACATTATAAACTAAATCACACCGCTGTGCATTATCTTTTTAATGCTATTTACTGGTATGAAGGGCACAAATGCACAGTAGCAATTATAGTTATACGTTTTTGTTTTAGTTTTTAAAGTTAGGGTTACATTTATAGGCAGCATTTATTTGTTACATTATAAAGATTGCATCTAAACAGTAATGAATGTATTACTGAAATAACAAATTGCATGCACAATGAATACTTTTTAAATAGTTTTTAAATTAGAGATAGATATTTCAAATTCACTGTAAATATTCCTCCGCCAACACAGATCTTTTTAGACAAGTCTGAAATGTCCGGCGAGTCCAAAAATTCTTTCTGAGTAACGTAATACTGTATTTTAGTTTTTTTGCCTCCAATAAGGGGCTCATTCGAGGCTACTTAACTATAAACTCTAAGAAGGAAGGGGGGTAAATCAGACGGCGCACAGCCAGGTAAAGGACAGGAAAATCCAGCTGTACCGCTCGGGCGGTCAAGCTGGAACCTTCGCCGGAAAAAAAAAAAACGACCGCTGTAATATTCTCGAAGCTGATTGGTGTGGGAATATATGATTTTTTCATTGGTTAAGCTTTTGAGGAACGGCATTCTGGCGTTATGGTAGGGTAGGCTAATGAAATGCGTGTGATAATAGGACAACGTTCAAGTTATTGATGGGGGAGTGACCAATGAGAAGCCAGGAATCATGACCAAGCTGTCTAATGCAGAGAAACTTCATCACAGTGTAAACCCAATGGCACACGTGCTGAGGCGGGGCTGCCCCGTCCTGCAATCAGTTTCTGAAGTTGGTAAACAGCTTTGACCTCATGGTATGTAATACGCCACAGTAAGGAGAGGTGGGGAGCGATCGAGGTGGTGGATTTGCTAATTTTTGTGGTAAGTGAGCAAATCAGTAAAAATCAGTATGTGCAATAGTATCACAAATAACTCGCGCTGCATTAATGTATAGAAGCGTTTCTCGGCGTGCACCGAAAGTTTGGCACTCAGTGACATTGTGAGGGCTCACGCTTGGGTTTAACTGACACGCTCTTCCCATCTGTGTGTGATAGTGTTTTAAGATGGCTTCCCTTTTGGCTTGTCAGGTTAAATGCATGCATTTATTTTGCAGCAGTTAAGTGACTAAGCCGTGTTGTGTGATTATAGAATGAGTAATAGACGGGGGCCATGCGAAACGTGACGGTAGGACTGTGCCATCTCAAGCGAGCGATCCTGAAAAGCAGCCCAGCGCTCATCAGTTGGTCACTCTTTCAGAACGACTCACTGTGTTGTACCCATACAGTAGCTTGGAGGTTCAAGCAGTATTGTTTTGTTTTTACTTCCCTACAGCAGCTACGAAGTTTTGACAGTTGGTTTGGTAAGTCTTTGACCGCGTGTCGCTATTGCCTAGGCTGAATTCGTTCAGAGAAACGCAAAGTGTATCAGATTTATTACATAAATATGTTGCATTGTTGGGCCGAGAAATGACTTCACCGTATGAGATTATTCATACTTGTGTGTGTTTGTTGGTGTTCAGCCTCAGGGGCAAATTGCTTAGGGGCGATAATGAAAGATTTCCATACTGCACAAAAATACAAAAAAGTGTGCAAATTCACAGGCTTAATCGTTCTGAAGAATGTGTATTAATAATTAATTAGTTAGTACATTTAGTCCCAGGCAGAGGTGGGTCCATGTTTTAATTGTAAAACTAAAGTGAAGGCTTGAAGAACTCTGAGTTTGCAGTGTCTCTCAGGAAGTCTGCACTTCGAGTGTTCGCGGTGGGACCACACGAGGGCTTTGGCGGGGGGGTCTCTCCCCCTCCTTCAGTGTTTTATGTTTTTGTTTATTTCTTGAAAATCTTATAATTTTTTGCTTTGCGAGACCTCCTTAACTTTCCAAGCACGATAACCTTTAAGCTTAAACTAGGTCAACACGAGTGGTCTAATTTGTAAAAAAACAGTTCTGATAAAAATCCTGCACCTTGATAAGACTTACAAGCTTTTCAGGTAGTTTCTATAGGAGTTTTTTTTTCTTTTCTTTTCTTGTGGCTTAAATGAGATTAACACGGGGAATCTCTATTGCTATTACATGGCATACAAGCATGTGCATACGATGGCAGCTGCCAGGGTTCTGTCCTGTGTGGTAGCTCTTCTTCCTTTACTTGACACAGATTAGTTCGGTAAGCGTCCAGCTTTCTAAATCTAAGTGTGGAGCTGTATGCTGTTTACGTTTTGGTAAAAACGGAGATAGTGAGCTTGAAACACAACTTTATGTGGGGAAAAATTGCCAGCTAAGTAAGTTCAGGCTTTTATTCACGATCGTTTTGTTATTAGGTCATTAGTGTATCTCTCACCCTCTTTTTCCCATTCTTGACTTACTGACCGGCCTTGTTACCTCCTTTTCCTTCCAAGCTGATGTTTGCCATTGCCTATGAAGGACAAGTCACCTAAGTGTAAAAACAGTGTTTCTGATTTCTGTTTTTAAGAGCGTATAGTTGCTCTTTTTTTTAATATCCTTACTGCCTGTGTGGTTTATAAGACATGATTATAAACAAAATTAAAATCCTCCTGGTTTGAAAGCTCAGACCCCTTCCTGATAATTTCAGTAGACTAAGTACAACCTGGCTGAAGTTTAATAATCAATGTGAAAATGGGTGAGATTTTGGGTACTGTGTCCCTTGACAGAACTTCCTCATATGAGGCTTTTTTATTTTAGAAACTAGGAACTTTTAACACAATTTTTTTCTTACTTCAAAAAAAAAAAAGGCCCAGTTCCCTCCCTCTTGAATTTTGGCCAGTCGTGCGATTGGAGGATGGGCAACACCACAGCCTTTCCCCTGTAAATTATAAATCCCTCCTCAGCATTCAGGGAGTTTTCTAGAAGGCGTGGTGACCTCTGCATTGCCAGCGGCCTGTTCTCTCCTGTGCCAAACTGACGTGTTTACGTGGAGGTTTCGTGCGTCTCTCTGTTTACACCCCCTCCCCCGACCACAATGCGCCTCTCGCTTTTAAAAATGGCGGAGGGTTTGCATCACAGCTGCTTCTTATCGTGGTTCTGTTGATGTTTCTATCCAGCAGGTAGCTGAGATCCCATCTCCGGGGGCTGTTTTTGTTTACTTTGGGCCTCGCAGGGTTGTACTTCAGGTCTGGGCAGCCAGAAACGGAGGCCTAGTGCGCTGGAGGTGTGGAGATGTGTTCAGGCTTGCTACCTTATGCACCAGTGCATGAATTTGCACCTGAGCCCCATTCAGTTTGAAAGAGGTAGGAATGCTGCACATACCGTTGTATCTCAGCCTTTGCCAGTGGTGGGGAGAGGAAATTGGTACGGCACACTGTTACTCATCTAGCTCAGAGTTCCCCAATTCCGGTCCTGGAGGGCCAGTATCCTACACAGTTTGCAGATTTCCCTGCTCAAACACCTCTTAGTCAGCCAATTACCAGGTTTAGTAGCTGTGTTTGAACAGGGAAATCCGAAGACTGTGTTGGGGGACCCTGATCCAGACATCTTCTGGTTTAGAAAGCAGAACATTTTATCCTTCAGCGCCAAACCGTGCCTCCGTCTACATCCCAGCAGTCGTTTCTTGCTTCATATGTGCCCCCACAAAGTATTCTCTTCATAGTAATGTTTGTGTTGCTTGAGTACAGCTTAAAAAAAAAAAGTAGTTCAAGAACTAGCAAACTTATTGAAACCAAAACAACTGGTAGTTTCAGCATAAGGCCTCATGGGGATGCACCTTTAGAATAGTCATCAGTATGGTGCAAAATATAATTTTTAAAGTTGTGTGTAATACTTCTAATGACTGTGTTGTTGTGGCTGTGGTCAGGCCACATGCACAGGACGCGGATGTGTCTCTGGTCGGCTCCTGTGCATCTCTGATACGTGACTGCATACTGTGAGAGGATGGTTTCTCTCGTTTCCCCCGAGAGGACGTGTGGCTGTCGCGCCTCAGCAGCAAGCTGTATTGTTTTGCTTTCCTGGGGGGTGGAGACTTCATGGTGGGCAGATATGAGGCCTTAAACTGGCCTCGAATGGGACCCATGCCAGTTCTCCAGTGTGCTGACCTGGTTTTAAACCTACTGCAACAAAGTGGGTCGTCCTTGAAACTTAACAGTACCTGTTGATACACAAAAGCAAGAACAATGTTTACTTGCAGGGGCGAGCTACTCGCAAGCTACTTTTTAATGAAAGTAGCTTGTTTTAATATAGAGTATGTACTGTATAATCTCTGGTGGTCCATTTAGACTTTGAACGCATCAGATTTGTGGCATTTGGTTACTTTAGGGTTCTCTTTCGTAATTACTGCCAGGAGGATCTCATTGTCATTCTCACTGACTAATATAAAGTCTATTTGTTCCTCTCAATGGGTACGTCCTGCAGGGAATGAATATATGCACAAATAAGTCTTTGAGAGATGTTTGTTTTTCCTGTGCATATGTTTGCATATATCTTTATTTTTGTCTTTTGTATGTTTCACAGCCTTTGGTTGTTTTTGTCTTGGCTGATGCCCAGACTGCTGGCTTAGGAGCTGAGACCCACATTCAGTAGCTAAATATGTTACTCTTATCTGCCCTGGTCTCGATGCACGACCAGGTGAAAACTTCTGAAGAGCCTACTGTGTTTGTGGGGAGTCCGCATTCTCACTGCTCCAGAGGAACTGGGATCTTCATGCTAAATATACATGGCAGATGTAAAAAGCTAGTAGGTTAAGCTTCACACACAATTTCATACGAAACTACACCACCACCAAAAACAATGGAGAATAAATAAGTCATTTTGTTTAATTATTTTTGTTTAGTTCTTTGTTCGATCGCGATCGAAATGGAACTTGGCCTTTCATTTATTTCCGTGTATGACCTGCGACATGCTCATGATTCTTATTAAATCTGGCCAGCAAATCATTTTACACCAAATAAAAAATGCTGCAACATTATCCCACTAATTAGCACTGGCAAGTTTCACTGCCGGCACTAGTGATGTTAGACAAAAGTATATTGGTTATTGATCTAATTTTCCGATGCAGAAATATGAAGACGCAAGCAAAAAATGTATTAATTGGTGCATTATATGCAATTGGGGTACAAAAATAATTCCATCTGCTCAGTTTGTGCTCCGCTGCATCTCTTTTTCTGTACTTTCATGTAACTTCCAAGTTAGCGCCAGTGCTTGAAGTCAACCCATCATCAAGCTATGGCTGTAAGCGCCTTCCCAGTAGTTTGTGTTCGAATGAAAAGATCCTAGTCTGGAGTAGGTACTAAAAAATTGGTTCTGGAACTGCCTCCGAGGAATTACAGTCGAGCAGAGTTCCTGTGGTATGAACATGACAAAAGTCCCTTGTTCCGGGAAAAAAATTCCTGCGGTGTGAATGCGCTTAATGTCTGCCTCTTCTGAAGGGAAGCTTTTTGGTGGGGGATGAGGTGTAGTTACAGCTATCTTCCTCCCCGTGCATATAAGTATGAGCGGTTGTTAATCTTCTCATCTGAGCTGAGGGGCTGGCCCGGAGCCTGGACCAGGAGGCAGCCAGTCCTCTATTAGCCTTGAAGTTCTTCCCCCAGCAAGTCTTAGCTCAAGCCTTTGGGGTCGTCCAAACTTAGTAAAGTACAAGTGGAAAGTTAAAGTCAGGTTTCCTTTTGGGTACTGGCGGGCTAAACCCGTTTAATGTGCCTGGGACCTTTACTGAAGGTACCAACGCAGTCTGGTTGTGACCTGCCTTGTCTTCAACCAACGCAGGTGCAACAGGTGACCATGATGGCGAGCGACATGATCATGCTGGTGAAGGGCCTGGCCAGGCTGAGCCGGGCCATGGTGGAGACTCAGGCCAGCATGCTGCGCAGCTCTGGGGTGCAGAGCTCCACCCAGGCTGCGCAGGACGTGGTCATGCGGACAATGCAGGTGGGTTTGGGTGAGCAGGGGTTCAGCGTTCAGGACAGGCCTCTAGCAGGTCCAAGGTCACACGCCTTCAGCTCTGGTGCCGTTCCGAATTTGTTCTTTGTTGACAGTACGGTGTGTTTTATCGGACTGATGACTATCTGATGCTGTACTCTGTGGGACTGCAGTTTGGCTGCCTTGTGTGACAAGCCGTCTCTGTCAGTTTTAATTCCGTCGTCCGATGATGTACAGTAATTTTATTGTGGCTTTGGGGACAGTGGGCTTGGGGTTACTGATTTTGTAACGCTGGCAGCTTTTGAGTCAGAACAGCGTGACATTCTTAGCGACAGACCTCAAGTGGAAAATTGCCGCCCTCCCCAGATCGCTTGCAGGTCGCCACAGGCCAGGTCAACACTTAAGCGCATTACGTTCACTTACTCGTCTGTTTCACTTCAGGAATTCACTGGACAGCAGCAGAATGTGTCCGACATTGAGGACTCCCGCTACGATTTTACTGGAGATAAGGAACCGTCTACCGGAGATTTTGGGGACGTGGACAGTGGGCACAAGCCGGCTGGTGGCGGTGCGGCCCCGGCGTTTGGCCATGCCGGCAACAAGCTCTTCGAGGGCTACAAGGACCCAAGCAAGCAGTTCTCAGGACCAATTCGCTCCTACCATCAGGATCACACCTCTGTCGGTGGGCTCACGGCAGAAGACATCGAGAAGGCCAGGGAGGCCAAAAGGAACGTGCCTCATAAGCAGATGGTAGATGTTCGTCATGCTGACCCAACCGTTTGTCATTACCACCAAACTCAATAAGCATCTGTGAAAGCAGGACCTGGTTGAGCTGTCACTGTTTACCAGACTGTGTTCAAAGGGATTGTGTAAAAGAACATTTGAGTGCAGGAGAAACACCTGCTAGACTTGACCAATTCTTCACTTTTGTCTTTTCCTGATAGGTGACTGATCCCAATTGCCAAAAACTGCCAAAAGCTGTAATACTATCGTTACATTCTTAATGTGAAGTAGTACAGACTTCAGCTTTCATCCCCAGGGGTATATTAGGGGCGGTTGCACAGGGGTTCCGGCCTGAGCTGAAAGCTTATTGGCCTGTGGAATGCCCCTCCCCTGTCACTCACAGATTCATAACATACCATTGGTTAATGATAAGGTTGGCCCCTCTTTATGAATTATGGCTCATCTTATGCTGGCCACCTTAAGAAATCCTAGATTTTACCCTGTTCATACACCCCCCCCCACACACACACACACACAAACTTGTTAGGTTTTATCCACGAATTGTATAAAAAAAGATACCAGTCTGTGAGGTTGAACAGAGTGTTTTTATGTCTGATATTTGGGTGTAGTAATAGTTATGGGCATGGTTAATGTCATTAGCTTGCAAAGGATTTATCGAAATGCAGGTCATTTTTAATTTGGTTGTGGTGTGTATTTGTGCGTAATTACACAGGTTCTGGGGTTTCATTTGTATACTTGGCTATACTCAGCTTCATATGCTCTGCGGTTTCGTGTATCGTAATACGTTCTGAGGGTCTGCCTGCGTGTGGCCCCCGGGTTTACACTTGGACAGCCGCTCACTCTGTGTCTTTCTCATTCCTGTGTTTCTTGTGTTTAGCTCAGCGAGCGGGCCAGGGAACGGAAAGTACCGGTAACACGGTTAGGGAGGCTGGCCAATTTTGGAGGTAAGGCCTGTGTTGGGTTGTGTGTTTTTTTTTTTTTTTTTTTTTTTTTTTTAAAAAAACATATTCCCAGTCCCTGCAGTTCGTCTGAGGCTGCTGGAGCATTTCACACTCTTTTCCATTGCTTATTCGGTACTTCATAGGTGACCAGCTAATTCCCATGTTTATGGTCAGACTAGGTTGTTATTATTATTTTTAAACTGTGTTCAAGTACATACAGTCTGGGTTTAAGGTCCTTTAGCTCCTCTTTTTCTTTCCATTTCAGATCACGGGGTAACTGGGGGCGTAGCTATGGATCTGGGTTTGAGGGCAACATTGTATTAGATTCAACTTTGTCATTGTGCTGAATACAGGTACAGAAGCCAATGAAATGCAGTTAGCATCATGTGTATATATAATATAAATTATAAATGTAAATTATAATACATGAGGTAGTCTGTAGCACAAGGTGCGGACAGGAAGTACAGAGCGGGAGATAAGGATTGTGCTAAGAAATATGATACAATATGTAATGATTCAAGTGGAAACTGGAGACATTATGCAAAAATGCAGTATGAAATGAAAATGGGTTCAGTCGGTACCAAGTTGTTTGGGGCCAGAGGCCAGTTGAAGAATTAGCGCCATAAAGTATTGTTGAGCGTATTGGTACCTGTGGAGAAGCTGTCCCTGAACCTGCTGGTGTGTAAGCGGAGGATCCTGTAGCGCTTCCCAGGTGGCAGAAGCGGGACCAGGACTGTCCATGTGTTGGGGTGAGAGGGGATCCTTGATGATGCGTGTCGCTCGTCTCCGGCAGTCTTTATAACGAACGTCTTTGATGGGTATCTGGGTGCCGGTGATGTGCAGGGAGGGTTTCACCACCCTTGGGAGGGTGTTCTGTTCTGAGACTGTGCAGCGCTGTCTTGCATTTTGTGAGGATGCTCTTGATGACAGCGTTAGAAATGTACCAGAATGCAGGGGGATTAGGTGTTGAGTTTGAGGTTTGCCGTCATGTTGCTGTGCCTGGATATCGGCTTGGGTGGGGGGGGTCACCGCATTGAAAGCCGGGCTGGAAGCAATGAAGAGCATCCTGATGTAGGAGTTGTTATTGTCCAAATGGGTCAAGGCAGCGTGGAGTGCTGTGGTTATGGCGTGCCCTGTTGATCTGTCGGAGGTCGGTCAAGGCATTGTAGCATTTGAACCTTGTCATTTAGCACCTATCCTTGTAGGTCCTAATCTGTAAGTAGGTGTAGGTCTATCACGGTACATGCCAGCCGAAGTCCGGTGGGCTGTTTTAATTGTACATGTTAAAGTCAGTTGCCTCACACTTATTTCCTACATCCCATAATCCTACTTCCTGTTGTGGGAGATGGTCAGAGAGACCCACCATTGCCTTAATACCTGGAGACTAACCACTAAATCACAGATGCGCTTGGGCCAGCTGACCCTTGATGCTCTTACATGACTTCAGTTTGCTTGACTGTCGCATTTGGATTGTGTTTCCCTCCATGAGCTGTGCCAGAGCTAATTTTGTTTCCAAGCTTCTGCTAACAAATGTTGTTTGAACGGAAGGGTGACCTTCACAGTTGTGCCATGGACTGCGTACCGAACTAGTCAGACCAACGAGGACTTGTAAACAAATTCAATCGCCCGTCTTTGAGTTGCCCGTTGTTTTGAAGTGCTTTTTCAACGTTTTTATTTTTATAGCACTAGGCTCAGGTCCGTAGCTTTGCCAGTTTAACAGCTTGGGCTGTATTCTCTCTCCCGAATGTTCCAGCCTGTGCCCATGTACCTTGGGACCCTCGATGTGCTGTCAGCCCACAGCCTGATGCATTAAAAACAGATTGGATGCTGCTTACAGGGGCTGGAGGTTAATCTGTAGCAGACTGTCAGACTGATGGTTAGATTACAAGGGTGTTTTTGGGGCCTGTTAGACAGTCCGCCTTGGTCATAACAAACCATATTTCCTAATCTCTCTGTTTGGTTGTGGTTACCGTTAGTCATTTTCCCCTCCCAGAAGTGGCCAGTGTGAGACTTCTGTCTCAGTTGAGCAGGACACCCTGTAGAGGGATGTCTGCCCTTTATGCCCAGATAAAGATAAGCAGCGTAACTTTGGGTTTGGTATAAACCCTTCAGTAGGATCGTCTTGTGCTATTACAGGTTTAGCATTGATGTGTCCAGACCAATTTGTGTATAGCTCTTTCTAATTTGCGTATAGCTATTTCTAATGCAGTTTCTCTGCAATAAGATTATTAATACACACTGGAACAACTGCAGATCTCATTCCAGATTCATGTCTGCCAGCCTTCTGAAAGGAGCTCAGGGTCACCATCACAAGTCACTTTGACTCATGATGGCGGCTGGAACAGCAGCCCCTTGACTTCTGGCCCTCTCCCATGTTGACCCCCCCCCCCCCCCCCCACACACACACACACACGGAAGGTTGGTGGGTTTTGCAAATCCAGTGGAAAAATACCTGCTGCCCTGTGAACTTTTTTTTCTCTGTACACCAAGATTGAGTTCCCATCAGAGTATCAGTTGAAGTTCAGCTGTGTCCATGCAAGTCAACCTACCTTGTGCCCCCTCCCCCGCCTTTCCTCATCGTGGATCATGGAGCCTTATCTGTATTTTGGGTCACCCACTGGTCAGTGGTGTATAACCTTTTATATAGAAATTAACTACAGTAGCTGCAGGCTTCTGCACCAAGCCTCATCCTGCTCACTTTCTTAACTAAAGCCAGCATCTCTCCATAGCCAGACTGTCCTGTGTCAGGTTTACACATTAAGTCGATATCGTTAGAGGTGCAGCAGATGTCGACTCAGAAACAGCTTTAGAATGTGGGCCTTTAGCTGCCCGTCCATCTGTCGCAGTCGCCACCTGCTGCTCTCCATTCGCCAACAGACCCACCAACCTCACGGTGCCACCTGCGTGCAGGTCGGTTTATGTCGACTATGCTCAGGTTTTGCTGAAAGGAACAGGGTCCCAGGGATGGTGACTGTAGCCTCTTAGGGGTGGCATGTGGTTCGACAGCTTGGGATGCTCTGGATGTGATCAGTAGGTTGCTGGTTCAAATCCCAGGGTCAGCAGAGAGTTCACCCTTGAGCAAGGCCCTTAACCCTCAAGGACTGTTCCAAGGACCGTGTGATCCTGCTTTCTCAGGGAAAAAAAGTGTATGTTGCTTTGTGTAAAAGTGTCAGCTAAATAGATTTTACCTGTTGTGTGCCTGGTTGCCAGGTAACCTGCACTGTTGTCCCTTTAGGAAGAAAAAAATCAATATATTTCACTTACCAGACTCTTTCATCCAAAGCAGTGTACATTTTTTGAGAACCAGGGTCAGCCAGCCCCTGGAGCAACTGGGATTAAGGGCCAAGTTAAAGGGGCTAATAGTGGGATTTGAACCGGCGACCTGCTGATCAAGGGTACAACATCTTAATCCTAACCCTCTGAGCCACACACCACCCTGAAATAGGGCGTGATAATTCTGCTGTCGGGATTTCCAGATTCAAGATTCATTCTTGGCCTTGTGCAAGAGGTAGACTGGAATACTTAATCGCCCTTACACTGTTACAAGAGACTAAACAAGACAGAGTAAAGCAATACAAGATTGTGCAATACAATACAGTACAACTGGTGCATAACAATACAAGAGAGTACAAAACAATACATACCATGCAAAAAAAAATTAGACTCTGTAACCCTGCAAGATAAGTGGTTAATAAAGTGCAGTTACCAATCTATAAAGTGCATGTGCGATGGATAAGACTGTTACTGGAAGCTTCTTTGGTCATATCTCTGGTGAATGGGCATCTGGCCTGACCTCACAACTGCTGATCCATGTAGGGGGCAGGAATGCTCGCCCACTCTTAGCCCTAACTTAGTCGTCTTCTGGAGCTCGACGTTGATTCCACCGAATATAACGTCACGCTCCGGTGATGTTAGCTTTGGCCTCTGCTCAGCCCTCAGTCGCTACGGCGGTTTATACACGCCACCTTCGCTGAATAGCTCTCTGTAATGCCCTAATAATACCCTTATCTTAATAATGCCCTTACATTAAGATTTATTTTTGTTTCTGACGCCTTTGCCGTTCTTGATAGAGGAGCAGTGGATACCAGCGTAAGATCCAGAGCATGAGTCCCCAAGCCCTGAGCTGTGCTTAGAAGCACCAAACGGGTAAACTGTGTGGTGGGGGTGGGGGGGGGGGGGTCACAGGGGCATTCTGCAAGCACGGGACGGGACAAGATGGCACCGTGGAATCCTGCCTCTTTTTTTGCTGTTCCTGCCCACATGCGACCACATTCCCCGCCCCCCCGCCCCGGCACGGTGCCCTTTCCCCGAAGGAAACGGGAAGCAGAAGGTCTTTCAGCATTTCCCAGGCGTGAGTCCAGTTTAAGTGCAGCCTCCTGAGCCCTTTGTTAACGTGGCTGGTTCTTACAAGGCAGAAAGACGAGAGAAACAGACGGTTTCTCAGGAAGGAAAGAGTTGCCTTGTGTAAGTGGTGATCTCTGTATTTCAGCAAGGCTGGCTGTTCTGTAACCAGCCCGTTGCACAACCGCATTGTTACAGAATGTGTTCAGTTATGTGTCTCATATGATTGATTCTGAAGATGCACATAAGATGCACCAAGCTGAAATTAAAAATGCCATTTTTATATGTTGAGGGTCCTTTCTGTGCTTGTGATCGACTCTGGGCTTCTTTTGATGAACTGACACTGCATGTTGGTCTTAGTCGAAACTTAACTAAACCGTTCAGTTTATTTCTGTAATTAAGACCATTTCTAGCGAGCATCTAGGTGTGTTACTTCTAGTCATTGCACATCTGAAAGCTAAGATCTGTTTATAGTGTCTGTGGCTCGCTGTATTCACCCCAAGTGAATTTGACCTGCAAAGCATGTTAATGTGGCGTGGTCACCTCGCAGCTTACATAATTCATGCTCGATGAGCTCATTCTCCTTGTTCAGCTGTTTGTTCAGAGAGGAAAGCCGGATCAGCCAGTGTGTCTTTTGTGTGATTTAATTTCTCATCAGAAAGTGCTGTGCAGATCTTCAGTTCATGATTGAATACATGTTAGCAAAATTTAATAGGTTTTCTGATGAAGGGAGATGTTGGGAAGGTCAAAACCTGACCCTATAATGGTTGTTTATGCAGCTGTCTGTGATCCACAGGTCTGGCAGTGGGACTGGGCATCGGGGCACTGGCAGAAGTGGCCAAAAAGAGCTGGAGACAGGAGGAGAGAAACGGTAAGATGGACCCCCTCTCCTGGCGTCGCTGTGTTCGGTTTGGCAGTCATGCATCTCGTATTTTTCACGGTCAAGACCTATATAGCATCTCAGATGATGGAAGCTCTTATTTATTTTGTAGTATGATGCAGATATAGGGGCGGCATGGTGGTGCAGTGGTTAGCACTGTTGCCTCGCACCTCTGGGACCTGGGTTCGAGTCTCCGCCTGGGGTCACATGTGTGTGGAGTTTGCATGTTCTCCCCGTGTCGTCGTGGGGTTTCCTCCGGGTACTCCGGTTTCCCCCCCACAGTCAAAGACATGCTGAGGCTAATTGGCGTTGCTAAATTGCCCTTAGGTGTGCATGTGTGAGTGACTGGTGTGTGAGTGTGCCCTGTGATGGGCTGGCCCCCCATTCAGGGTTGTTCCCTGCCTCATGCCCATTGCTTCCAGGATCGGCTCCGGACCCCCCGCGACCCAGTAGGATAAGCGGGTTGGACAATGGATGGATGGATGGATGCAGAATCCAGAATAAATTTCTTATTTCTTGGGGGGGGTCTTCAGTTTGCACCACTTGTCATCTGAATTTCCGGCACCTTCCATAGTGATGGATCGTTGCGGTGTTGGAAAGGGCAGAGTGACTGAGGAATGCCACAGCCGTGATCCTTACCTCAGATCCCCCAAGCTTTCTGTGGATTGTTTCTAGGCATTTTGCTGACATGGTGGCTCACTGGACAGCACTGTAACTGTAAATGTGTACCAAAAGTTGTGTAATAAGACACTATCCTGAGATACTGGATTTCGAGGTGCTCTGTTCTGTTGTCTGACACATACAGACGTGTATTCTGTGAAGACCAGTCCCTGCTCTGCCTCTGATTGCCTCTCCTGACTCTGGCATTTTTTTTCTCTGAGCCAATCTAACTAACCATCAGACAATAACCGTAACCAAACAATGAACAATGGCCAATCAGAAGCAGAGTAGGGGTGGGTTTTCGCGGACAGCGGGTAACTGTCTCTTGCCGCCACTCTGCTGCTTGTCACCGTCAGGTTAATTAAGGTTGATGTGGTAAGCCAACCTTTAAAACAGAAACAAANAATTCTGGGTGGTGAAAATTAGGCTTGGCATGGATTTTCCCATAAACCAGCCACCTTGGCCAATGAGTCAAAATATTTAGTTTCAGACCTTCTCTAGGTGCTATGAAGTCTGCTTGTGACATGATGGTGAGTTGGGGGGGGGGCAGCGTGTGGCTCAGCAGGTCAGACCACTGTGTCCGTGACCAGAAGGTTGCTGGTTCAAATCCCATCTTCTATCTAGTCAAAGAAACGGCCATAAGGAGACCAAGATTGGATCTGTACGCATACGGCGCAGACGCCGTTTGTGAACGTTTGGTGTGAGGCCTGAGGATTGGCTCTCTGAAGGGATGGCAGGAGCTTTTCCAGTAACCACAGTGCCCGTCCTGCAGCTGTCAAGACAGCACTACAGCCGCAGAGGGCTGGTCTCTCCTGATCTAGAAGCTACAGAAGGCTTCCTGTGCGTCATCCTGTAATTCCGAATCTCCGGAGATGTTCGGCTCAAAACCGGCATCCATGTCAGCCGTGATATTAATTTCAGCGGGGTCGAGTTTGGTCAGCCCCGGTGGCTAGCAGTTTCACCTTGGTCTTGGATGGGGGGCACCAGCTGGGACCAGCCCTCAGCGTGGTTGTGATTTTGAACTTTTTCCACTAAATCCTTTGCATATTGGGCTGGGGGGTAAATGTTTCATTACAAAGTTTACAGTAACTATTTCTGTCATATTCTGTAATATTCTAATTTTAGTTTGATCCCGTCGCTGTAGGTGCCTGCTTCTAAAGTGGTGAAAGGTTACTGTGGATTTTTATTTTAAACTCTAGCCTCCCTGAATAATGACCAGTATAAAATTAGCTATGAGGCCCCCACCCCCAAGACCCATGTCCAAATGGGATGAGCCTTTCGGTTAAATGCAGACTTGATCTGGTCTCCTCCATCATTTCCCCAATGCCCCGTGGCTGTTGTTAGTCCGTAATGTTATTTGCGGCGGTTAATGAGACGATCCACTCCTGTTATCAATCAGCACTTCTAGAAATAAACTATAACCCACTGTTCCTATCCTACCCACCCCCTCCCCGCCCCGGGCAGAACTCCAGCTGTAGGAGTGACATTCAGACATCATCTCTCCCAGATTCCTTGAATGCTTCTCCGTTGAAGTCCTTCGTCATGCCAGAGCAATGTGCCATTTTCTTCTTGGTATTAGTCACACGAGCGCCCCCTGCTGTTCACTGGGGTGGGCACACGAGCAGGGCTCTAACAGGATGGTTATCATCCCTTATTTCTGGGTATGCTGACCACACGGACGTACGTGTGCAGGTCTATAACGGGGCAGTTCATTTTTGGATTGATGGACAACAGTATCAGTTTGAAGGAGCTCTAACAAACATTTAAAAAATGTATGATGTCTTAGCATTGCAGAAAGTTTCAAATGTATGAAATACACTTTGGGGTAGAAACCCTAAATGCCACCTAAAGCCGTAGCACCCCACCCCTGTGCCCCCCATTAAGAGAAGCTAACGTGTCATTCGCTCATTACGAGGTCGACCTCTTATCCTGTCCAATCAGGCGAGAAGAAGGCCGTCCTGGACTCCAGCCCCTTCCTGTCGGAGGCCAACGCGGAGCGCATCGTCCGGACGCTGTGCAAGGTGCGCGGTGCCGCTCTCAAGCTTGGCCAGATGCTCAGTATTCAAGGTGAGCACCCCGCCTGCAGGGGAAGAGCTGTTTAACCTTACACAGAAACCCAGTTTCACTGGGAGCTCAGCCTGGCAGTACATGTACCCAGTTTGCCTCCTTGACAAGTGTATGCTTGTGATGCATTATCTGACAGGGGAAATAAATAAATCGGGCAGATAAATAAATGTTTATGTAAACTGTGGAATGTAATTAAGTTAATGCTGGATGAGCTTCCAGTGCAGGGTGGATGGTTTGCCTGTGTTTGCCTGTGTTTGCCTGTGTTTGCCTGTGTTTGCCTGTGTTTGCCTGTGTTTCTGTGCCTGTCTTCCATTGCATTCAATGCTTTGACTGACTGCAGAAACCCTGCATTTCATCTGCGCTGACAGCTCCGTGGCTCATATGATAACACATCCAGCACCAGCTCAGCAGTCCCCCCCCCCCCGCCCCCGTGACTTTGACTGATTTCTAGTAACCGGCCCCCTCCCTATCCCTGGCCCCACTCGTTTGGCCTGAGTCCTCCCTGTTGGGTATCTGCTGGTACACAGGCAACCTTCAGCCAGTCTTGTGTCTGGCCCCCGAAAAACTGGGGCAAGTTAAACATATCTCTGTTGGCCGATCGGGGAGGGGGGGGTTGGGGGTTAAATGTGCACTGCAAGCTGCCCAAAACAGCCTTTTCCTTTAAAGCATCCAGCTTTGGTGCACTGCTTTTTAGCGGCACGGCGTTCGGCTAATTACAGTCCTGACTATACCAAAATACTTTGTGTGTGTGACTCCTTCACCGGCATTACGGTGACGCTTTGTCCTGGGTTTGAACCTCCAGCTTTCGGGTCTTTAATGCAGTTCCCTTAACCACTCTGCCACCGCTTTTACTCTTGAGGCAATACTTTCGAAAGCCATTATAATATTTGATCTTCGCATTGACTAATCGTGTGTGCAGATTGATTCCTTCCTAGCATATCAATGTTATAACGGTGTCTGGCCCCAGGACTGTTTTTTTAATGGTTAATCAGTGTCAGGAAAGTTTTGCTATTTAAAGTGTGAGAATTACTCTTTGAACCCTACAGAGTCCTCCTGTTTCTTCAATTCCGCACATGAACTGCTCTTATCTGGGCAATTGCTGTTATCTGCGAGTGGTTTGTGTGTTGAAGGGAGGTCACCTTTGGTCACTGATACAAGGTCTTCAGGGTAGGCCCTCAAAGAAACTGTGTCCTGGAAGACACCAGCGAAGCAGAGTGAATATCACCCCCCACCCCCACCCCACCCCCAAGGCATAAAATAGTCCCTCAAACAGTAGCCTTAAATCTTGTCAGCATTCTTGATAATTCACCAGAGGCTTCAATGAGGGCACAGCAATCTGCCAGTAGGAAATGGGCTTTCAGGAGACGTGCAAACTAAGATTAAGAAGAATGCAAGACACAAGGGTCAAAAGGTATGGTTCACGTTGGGTTCATTTATCTAAGATAACAACTAAAAACACAAATTTTTAATAAAAGACCAGCAGGTTGTAGAGCTGATTATTACGATTAACTCAGGAATTACCGTTTGAGTCATTTGTTCAATGACAACAGGCCTCGTAACTGAATGTCAACAATTTGTTGGACACCCATCAATGATGTGCCGTGAAATAGCTTTTGACCCTTGTGTCTTGCATTCTTCTTAATCTTAGTTTGCACATGTCTGCTGAAAGCCCATTTCCTACTGGCAGATTGCTGTATCCCCACTGAAGCCTCCCACAATGCAATGGGGTAAACATGCACTGGTGTGCTTACACATTCCACCAGCTTTGATTGATGGTTACTGTATCAGCCCCAAGAATGTACTCAGAATTCTGAGGGCCCAGTAAGAATTAAAGTGAAATGCTAGTACTGCACCTTCGACGCGGCATCTGTCCGGATCTCCCAGTGGCTACTTCTGATGTCTGGTCTGAACATCAATCTTTTCCAACACACTGTCATTCATTGCCAATCTCACTGTGCGCTTGTTTATGGGAGTACAGTGACACTATGCTGTAGACGTTCTGCCCTGCACCACAGAAGCCCCCCCCCCCCCCCCCCCGACACTGACCTCTCCTTGCTGCGTTGCAGATGATGCCTTCATCAACCCTCAGCTGGCCAAGATCTTTGAGCGGGTTCGCCAGAGTGCAGACTTCATGCCCATCAAACAGATGACGGTGAGAAGCCTTTGCAGTGTTGCTGCCCCAGCTAGCTTCATCGGGGGGGGGTAAAACACTGTTGCTGTTCAGTTTGAATTTCTCAGTCATGCTATTTCTCCATGTGACATGTTGTTTATTTGATTCTCAGTGGTTTGGCTGGTGCTCTGCTTTAGGGCAGCCAGTAGCTCCCCAGAGGTGGTAATTCAGTGGCTCTGAATGACGATATTTGACGTTTTAATGAGACCTTCACCGCAAAGCTAGGGGTGGGGAGGGTGGAAGGCCGGTCGGTGCTGCTCATGCGATGAGCCGGGAGACACGAGCTCTGAGCCCCGCTGTTCTTCCCATGGCCCAGAAAGCGCTCAGCAGTGACCTGGGCCCCAACTGGAGGGACAAGCTGGACTTCTTTGAGGAGAGGCCCTTTGCGGCCGCCTCCATCGGGCAGGTCCACCTGGCGCGGCTGAAGGACGGCAGGGAGGTGGCCATGAAGATCCAGGTGAGCAGATCAGTTTCCCCAATCTGCATGTCCCCAGTTTTTTAATTTTTTATTTTATTTTAATCCTCCTGGCTGTTTCATTTGCTAATGCCGTTAGAGAATGAAAGATGATATGGTTGCATTATTTCATAACCTGAGAGACTTTTTGCTTGTCGTCTTTTCCAGTATCCCGGTGTAGCACAGAGCATTAACAGTGACGTCAGCAACCTCATGACTGTCCTTAGCATGAGCAATGCGCTGCCTGAGGGTAGGTCCACGGGGGATGGGGGGGGGTCGATTAGCAAAGCTTATCCAGTAAAATTCAAAGATTACAGCTTAATCGGTATATTGGCGACTATACAGCAATGTTTCAAATTATGGGGGAGCTGATTGGGAGCTCGGCTCCCCTGAAAAGGACATGAGCTCCTTTGTTGCCTCTTTATTCACTCATTCCATTCCATTAAACTCTTTGCCTGATTCTTATGTTCTTATTGTGCCTCCATGAAATGTTACTGACGGTATTAACTGCCTGCAGTAGGAGTAGTAGAATGTGTCTCTCAGTGCCCCTGTTATTGACCGCGCTGCCGCGCTTATATGTATGCGGTGCGTGTGACTTGGGAAGTCGTGGTGCACACCGGAAAATAGGGCTTCCCTGAAAGCCACTGTGTAATTCGAACCCTGTATAGATTATGAGGCGGTAAGCCAAATCCATCTGACTGATCTTTGAACCACTGGGTCTAAAACTATGGTCTTTAATCAAGTGCTTGTTAAAATATAGCAGATTTTTAAAATTGGAGGATGTCGGGGGGGGTTATGCCATCATGCTGCAAGTCCCCCCCTCATGTCGTCATACTGTCCAGTCAGAGCTGCCTTCCATATAACTCACACATATAAAGGTGGAATTTCAAACATATCAAACTTGGACCAAACCGTTACATCTGAACGGATTTACTTCTCTTATCATGGTCACCCAGCGTCAGTAAGAAGGCCGTCCCCAGGTTACAAACAAGGGCCGTTCCCTAAATCTGTCTTTAAGTTGAATTTGTAGGCAAGCCGGAATATAATACAGTAGATAATAATTATTATACAGTAATAATAAAAGCAACTACAATACTATGATACTCAAGCCAGGAAATCGTTGAAGCCGTGCAACATTTTCATGAGCATCACAAAGTTGTGTGTGCGTTATTATGATCCATTGCATTTAACCCGAATTTTTTATATAAATAGTTTTTATGAGTTGTCCATAAGTTGGATGTTCTTGACCCAGGGACAGTCTGTAGCTGTAATTCGCTGTACAGTTGTGCTCTTCTATCTCCTATCAGATGTGTGCTGACCATTTACTTCATTGATGCCTGGTGCCCCCTTTGTTTGTGCTGCACAGGTCTGTTCCCGGAGCACTTAATTGAAGTTATGCGTCGAGAGCTGGCCCTGGAATGCGACTACATAAGGGAGGCCAGGTGTGCCAGGAAGTTCAGGTGAGTGAGGAGCGGGGTGGGATTGGTCAGGAACGGGGTGGGATTGGTCAGGAACAGGGTAGTGTTGGTCAGGAACGGGGTGGGATTGGTCAGGAACAGGGTAGTGTTGGTCAGGAACGGGGTGGGATTGGTCAGGACCGGGGTAGTGTTGGTCAGGACCGGGATGGGATTGGTCAGGAACAGGGTGGGATTGGTCAGGAACGGGATGGGATTGGTCAGGAACGGGGTGGGATTGGTCAGCCATCGGGCCACTTGGGATTCAGACTGGTGCTAGAAAGCATTTTAGATTAAACCTGCACACTACTGAGTATACAGTTAATTCCTGTGTCAAACTAGGCTTTTGACAACAGGGAAATGTTTTAAAAAAAACTTAAACAAAATAACTAGACTGTTGAATTAAAACTATTTAAGGGGTGTGGCTCCGTGGGTTAGGACTCTGTTCCTGTGATCAGAAGGTGGACAATGCAAATCCCATTATCGATGTGATCTGATGTTACCACTGGTCCTTAGAACAAGGCCCCTAACCCCACGTTGCTGCAGGAACTGTCTGACCCAGATGTCTATAGCTTTAGATAAAAGCATCTGTTAAATAAATAAAATAAACATATCTGTTGTCACAGATGTTACCATTATGTCAAGTCAATTTACAATTTTAACCACTATTTCTTCTTTAGAAGTAGTAGTGAAAAGTAGTATGAATAGCGACAGTCATAGCTTGCGGCAAATCGGAGCCGATGCATTGTGCTGTAGAGGACCTGCTTCCCCATCTGAGAAGGTGTTCTGTGTGGCCCACAGGGAGCTTCTCAAAGACCACCCATTCTTCTACGTGCCAGAGGTCATTGACGAGCTCAGCAGCCAGCACGTGCTCACCACCGAGCTGGTACCCGGATTCCCATTGGACAAGGCAGACAGCCTCTCACAGGACCTCAAGAACGAGGCAGGTTCCTGTCGGGAGTGAGGCTTCTGACAGCCGGAGGCCCAACCAGACTGGCTGACCCACACTAAGAAACACGTATATAAAAAAATAGGATAAAGTACAATTGGGATTATTTAAAAAATAGACTTAAGCTTTAAAATGCAATATTATAGGAATCAGGTTGATTTAAGCCTTATGATTAATGCATATTCTCCACATTCTTTTTAAAGTATGTTCTTTAGCCATGAATGAATCTTTATCCATGAACTGAGTCAACGAACAGGCATCTTAGTGGGATTAATACTGCCATCTAGTGGTAAAACTAAAAGCTGCAGAAGGCCGTGCATTAGGTGCAGGTCATTGATTGAAACTGTGACTGTTACTGATGAGCTGTATTTTGTTGCAGATCTGTGAGAATATCCTGATTCTTTGCTTGAGGGAACTTTTTGAGTTCAGATTCATGCAGACCGATCCCAACTGGTCAAATTTCTTCTACGACCCCCAAACGCACAGGGTAAATCCCGATTCTGACCGCAAGCTTCATCTTCTAAAGAGTGTTTTTTGAGGCTCACTGACGGACGACTTCTCTGCCCATCAGGTTGCCCTCTTGGATTTCGGTGCTACGAGAGGGTTCGATGTCAGCTTTACGGATTTGTACATTGAGGTAGGTTTAGCAGAAGTCCCGGTCGTTCAGATTCACTTTGAAGGAGGTCCCAGTGTGCCATAAATCACCCCCCCCCTCTCTCTTTTTTACGAATCAGATTATCAAGGCGGCAGCAGAGGGGGACCGAGATGCCGTGTTGAAGAGGTCCATAGAAATGAAGTTCCTCACTGGCTATGAGTCAAAGGTGAGACACGGGCATTTGCACAAGCAGCCTCGTGATAGACTGAGTGTGGCAGAATTTTTCATGATGTACAGGAAAAACCCACACAAAGCTTAGTTATATCTGTGTGTGTCTTGCACTCCTCTGTGTTCACATTTTTATTCTCGGTTCCTAAGTCACCAGACGTCTGAGATACATAGATGTGCGCTCGCACAAACACACAGGCTAGATGGCCATCTGGCATATGGGGCAATTTCCCAGTGGGCTGATGGTTATGTGGGGCCCTCCACCCCCTCGACAAAATAATACCCCATTGCTACCCCAGTAAAATCATTAGAACTAGTCTGGCCCCCACTTCAGAATAGGACTGGCTACGTCCCTGTCGTGAGGCCAACAGAGACCCCAAAAATCCAGACTCAAAATGTAATCCCATTCCAGCCTTGCACACTCACGCATGTTTATATATCTTGCTGATGCCACCAAACACTCCTGTCTGCCTGGCCCTGCCCCCCCCGCCCAGGCCATGGAGAATGCCCACGTGGATGCTGTGATGATCCTGGGCGAGGCCTTCGCGTCCCAGGTGCCCTTCAGCTTCGGCTGCCAGAGCACCACTGAGCGCATCCACAACCTGATCCCCGTCATGCTGAGGCAGCGGCTCACCCCCCCGCCCGAGGAGACCTACTCCCTCCACCGCAAGATGGGCGGCTCATTCCTCATCTGCTCGCGGCTAAACGCTAGCCTGGGATGTCGGGGCATGTTTGAGGAGGCCTACAGCAAGTACTGGAGCCAGCGGCGGGCGGAGCCAAGCCAGTGACTGAAGGGAGGTGCTTCCCATAGCGTTTAATGGTTGGAGTACTGGGAGAGCTGATGTGCTCAGCGGTGAACCGAATGTAAATGCCCGACCAGCAGCAGTAATCCTTATTTTCACTTTTGATCTTTTTCTTTTTTTAATTGATTGTCCAGTGTTGAGTAAAACAAACTGTTGTCTGGATAAGAAGCCAGTGGTTTAATAAGAGAAACTTTTTTAAGGCCAAAGAGAGAAGAGTAGTGATGTTGTTCTGGGCTTTGAGAGTAAAGGCCTTGTGACTAATCGTGCTCCACTAACAGAAATACAAACCAAGATGTCACAGCGTTTCAGTCTGAATCACAGTAAAACTGAGTGTTGGTTAAACATGAATAAGTGACTGCTCAGGATGTTCCAGTGTAAAACTCACAGGTTTGGGCAGTTCAAGGCAGAATCCCCTCGGACCTACAAAAAATATCATCTCCACATGTACTAAGATGTATAGACTCATTTGTGTTGTTTTTTTTGTGCTGAGGTGACATTTTTATACCACCGACAAGTAATGAGGGATAATGTTTCATAGCCCCATCCAGCACCACCCAGCCCCTTGCTGCCCCCCCCATAGACATCGGCCTAGAGCTGGCAGGGCCCCCCCTGCATTGCACACATGGGCGTGTGAGGTACCCTGAGGTACCAAGACCTGTGGACCTGTTAGTGTGTGTGTGTGTGTGTTTTTCTTTGTACGCTTCATGCAGAGGTCTCATGATTATTATCTAAAAGTAACGAGGGATAAGAAATCATCTTCTGTACCTGGGGAAACATGAAGTACATTATTGTAGTGAACCTGTCCTCTATAAAAGTGAATTTTGAACTTCTTATGGGTTAAATTATCCTCTAGGCAGAGTGTGCCCAAGTTCATCCTGGTGCGTTTCCAGGTCGATCGTGAGACGACAATGAATTAATAAAGTTCAGGTCCTGTGTTTTCGTAAAAGAATCTTAACTGAAATGTTTGATGTCCCTGTGATGTCTATTCACATGAAAAGAAGTACTTCTGGTAAATTGTGTGTTTGTTCTGCAGTCAATATGCGCACATGCACCAAAACCAATGGACTGTTTTTTGGTTTTGCTGTAAGCTGAGGACCTGCTTTCCTACAGCAGTTTTAATGATGTTTGTCATTCGTTCAGTGGAGATACTGATATAAACCTACTTGTGTAACTCTAAGTCAGGAACTCAAGACATGGACTCAAGCCTGGTGTTCATAATGTAGAGTCATTCTTTGGGGAAAAAGATGGTTTTTACAGTTTCATATCCATGGCATTCTACTACAGAATTGTAATAATAAAATCATAAGTTTGACAGCCAACGAGCCCAAATAATTTGTCAACTCTGTAGATGTACGATATTTGGACAAAAGTATTGGGATGCACCTCTCAGTCTTTGAATTCAGGTGTTTTATTCAGACCCATGGCCATGTGTATAAAATCAAGCACCCAGCCATGCAGTCTTAGAGGCTATAAAGATTACAACAAACTCCCCTTTTCACATTTTTTCCACATACTACATATGCTAACATGGCAGATCTCTGTAGTGAGGCAAGGTATCTCTGTGGTGATATCCACTTCAACCCAAACCAGCAACACTAGTCCCCAAGACTAGCTCTTTAAAATTATCTGCAGTGTCTGCAGCCAATAATTATTAATAAGTAAGCTAACAATTCAAATAGGTGAGCAATCTGCCATGCAATGATAAAGAACAAAGGTAATATATGAAATATTTAGAGGATATAATATAGCTATAATAGAATATACATAAGCAAAACAGGTTAAAATCACATGCAGACTATATATTCATGTTACTCCATGCTTTCCTGTGAGATGTCTCTCTTTTTTCATTTTTTCTTTTTGTATTTCTTCAGCTCTGAACGCACTGCTTCAACTGCCAGGTTGTTTTCTTTGCACTGCAGCAGCCCTTTAGTTTCGAGAAAGGCACAATGGACAATTTTCACTATGTTCTCGGACGGTTGCACTGTGATGTTGGTCATGTGACTGGAGTTGTGACAGTGGTGCATGAACACCAGGATGATGGGTTTGTCTTCTGTGGAAGGAAGAAACCAAACAGGTAACTAGGCACTGATAGATGCTGTTGCTGTCCCCTGTGGTTTATCACACATGCAAAGAAGGAAGCGAATGCCGGCATCCAATCCTAGGTGTCCTCTGCTTCAGCTGTGCTTTCTAGGACAGACTCTAGGCTCAGCATAACCCTGTACTGGGCAAGTGGTCATGGAAATATCGATGGAAAAGTCAAGGCACTATAAGTACAGGAATTCATTACACACAGAGTCCAATCTAATAATGATTCAGATTAAACACTGTTAAATACTGTATGTGCAGTGTTACAGTGGCACAATTACAGAACACTCTGTATACTTGTCAGTCACTACCACAGTAAAACTAGTTGCATAGACTTGGGTTGCAGTTAAACAAATGTAAAATTGAAAGTATTATAAATCTGTTTTTGAACTTAATTGTTTTTATTGGTTTTTATGTGCCGGATTCCCATCCAGTAAAAAGAAAATGTTTTAGAAGCCAAAAATCTGCAAATGTGTCGGACTCCAGACCAGCAGGTTCATTTAAAAATTGAAGATGGAGTGTTGATCTGTGTTTACTTTTATCGGACAACTTCTGAAAGGCAGCTTTTAGAAGCTTTTATTAAATAACTTCCTCTGTGAAGAGATGCACTATGTAATGTATGTCTGTTGCTGCTTTTTCTGCAGTTCAGAGCCTGGCTGTCAAATAGCAGTGAGAGACTGAATCATGACTCACCTGTAACTCTGGCCATTGCTGCCTCCATGTCTGTCCCAATCCGAGAAACAACAGGACAGAAGACCAGGATGACATAGCTCTCTTGAGCGGGGACCTGTTTGACCTTGAGATTTTTCATAAATCTTTCATGGGTTTGGAAAGTTTCTCCAGCAACCAGCACATTGACTTTAACTGGGGAAGCAAAACAAATTAAATATGAGCTGCAAGTGTGATGAAATGGAAGCATTCAGGAAAACACTTTACAGACTGATTCCTTCTGTGTGCCGTTCATCCATGTTATAGCATGTTTACCGCAGACAAGATACTGTAAAATAACACAGACTCATCATCAAAGAGGGGATTTGGCATGATGGTCGAATTTAGAATATAACTGGAAAACACAGGAACACGATACTGCTTTTGAGTCTGGCCAAAAGTGAATCATTTCAAATGATAGATGTCAAACATCAAAAACACTGGACAACCTACCTGACTTCTTCAAGTATGAGGACTGATGTTGTCCAGACACAGAAGCCTCTGAAGTTCCTGTAAAAGATTTGTCTCCTACACTTTCTGCCTTAACAGCAGGAAAAACATGTTCAATTAATCAAAACAAAATTCACAAAACCAAATGAAAAATAAGAACACATTAAATGTCAGTTGCAAAATTTGTATGCAATGCATGCAAATACTACATCTTAACTCTGGGGATGCAGTTGAGTGAAGAGACTACAGTAGTGATTCAGCAAATATCACACGGCCTGAGATGGTAGAAAATGTATACCTCTGGGAGGCAGCGAATGTACATCATTTCATGTCACAACCTCATACAAAAAAATCAGACTGAAAACGAAGGAGCCGACCAAGATGTTCTCGCACTGCCCCCTGGTGGACATAACTTTGAATTCTCCAGATAGACATAAACTATGCGCACATGTATGAGCAGCAGTGCCGCGTGTGTAGGGACAACACACGTAAACCCTTGCATGGCACGTGTGGAGTATAAAACAGCCGTCTCTCAACATTTTACATTAGCGACTCATATTTCTTAAAAACGCAAACCTAACAGCTCATCACATAATCAGCTAACTTGTCCAAATGCTAACAAACCTTGGCTAAAATTATTTTAGATCTATATACTACACCAGTATATGGTGTATTTCATTCAAGACCTAGGTACGACTCTTGTTCAGTGGCCTGAGTCGATCGTCACACCATTAGGCCCTATAAGATAGTTCCGACATTTCCAATGGAAAATGTGCGTACACCAGGTTTGCTAAATCTGATTTTTTTTTACGTATACAAATTTTTTTAAGATGAAATTTACGAAAACTTTGATATGAGTCCCCAGGAGTAGAGCAGATGGGAAATCAATATGCTAAGCAATGAACATAGTCAAAAGCATTAGCAGGGATTGAACAGCCAAAAGGTCCATCCAGAGGATGCAGGGGAAGGCAGGCACACATACAGACAAGGAAAAAGCTAGAAACACTCATTCCGAGAGAGGAAGCAGGACACACACTAACTACAGGGTTGGGATCAGGAAGATCAGGCACACGGAATCACACAGGAGGAGATAAACACAATCAGGACAAAGCAGAGGTACTGACACAAGTCAAACCAGCTAGATTGGTTAAGTAGGACCAGCAATTAGTAGAAACCGAACATAAGGCACAGGAGTTAGTCCAGGTGACGGAGACTGGGTGCAGGGTGTGGCAACGGGCCGGGGTCTAAGTCTAACCTCACAGGCATTTGCCAAATAGGTTTTAGATTTACATTTAGTTTTTTGCTCATCAGTATTCATCTTCAGTTTTGAGAGCAATGTCATAAACTGAGAAAAAAAATTGTTGGAGGAATGAAATTTTGAGTCATGTTCAAAAGAAATTATATTGTTTGGCAGTTTGACGAAATTAAAATGTTTATATTAATAAACACTGGAAATTTTTGCCATCATTGCAGAACGCATATAAGAGAAGCAATATCAAAACCTGCGTAGGGGAGCCAAACATGTTTTCCTGCATACGGGGGGGGACATGGATAAAAGACCTTGAGAACCACTGTTCTAAGTGAAAGAGTCAAGAGTGAAAAATAGGCCTACTTTGCAAATACTGTTCTTGTTGATTGTAGCTAATCCCATGTACATACCTTAAATAGGAACATTAATTTTTGTTTCGTTTTTCTTTTTTTTATTATTATTATGCTAAATTAACATGTCAGTGCAGTTGTGGAACTAAGTTTTTCGGGATTTGTGTGGATCACAGGTTGCAGTCCCATATATTGCGGCATTGACTCCTATTGAAAATGAAGTGCTGTGTCCAGTTTTGAGCCAATTTGCGAGGCAATTTGTCTTGTATTTTCATACTGTGGGATTATTAACTTGATTTTGTATTTGATGGGCCCGTTCAGCTAAATCACGAAATGCCCGTCACCCCTGCAGGGCTCTGTATGTACCATTAGTTACCTGTCACAGTTCTTACTGTTATATCACATAAAATGTTAGTCATAGTGCAAAAGAGAAACATAATATAAATATTTTTAAATATAAGCAATATAAATGACAATTTCAGACGTTGATATTATATAAATCATACACAAAGGAATACAAGCAACTACCTAATTGGTGGGGAAAGATTCCATAAATTGTCATGTGGACAATATATATAGCCTGAGTGGAATGTGCAATAAATTAATAAATGTAGTTTCTGACATACATATCATAACAAGAACTCATAACATTCAGGTAAAAACACATTTACTAACTTTTACATTTCCAAGTGAACCATCCAGTGCTACTAGAAATTGTACAGGTTGGTGAGTGTGGGATGAGTATGGATTAGATGGGCTGAGCAAATGAATGTGTTGTCTGAAAGCCCCCTTTTTGGTTTTAACTGTTTGTAGGGAAATTACTGTTAAAAAATGAAGACCACTATAAATTAGTGTACTTTACCTGTCTGTAGTCATTGATGAGACCCAGGATTCTTTGTCGTTTGTTACGTTGGAGTATAGTTGGTAAGTGTTTTTTAAGGCCTTTCTTTGTTAACCTGAGAAGATCATTCTCATTAGGGTATTCCTCTGCAGGGGAAAAGTATAGTCAATGATTCAAAGTCACAATGTAGGCTAAGTAACTCGATAATTGGTCTAATATGAGTTCACATTGACAGTGATCACATTGTTGTCAAAAATACACAGTATGACGCTTCAACAATAGAACAGAAGTTTCGTGATTGGAGGGATGACTAGCGAATCATAAATTAGCTACTTGGGGTATCCGATTGGTTAATAATTGTGGAACAAAAGTATGGCGTTAAATTAGTGCCAAAACTCGCGCGCATAAAAACCACGTGCGCCTATGCGCTCGCGAGCAGAATACTCATGCTCTCTACGCGCTCGCTCTGCGTTACATTAGTGCCAAAAGTCGAACCACGCGCGCAAAAACCCTTCGATTGGTTTTTTAAAATATTGATTACGACTGGCTATTTGCTTTGGTAGAAGATGAAGATTACTTGTCACTGACCGCGGTTAAGTTAGCCTCATATTCGATATTCAGTTTTATGGCTTTTAA